CACCCACACACACACACACACACACACACACACACACACACACACACACACACACACACACACACACACACACATATATAGATCATAATGTCATAACTACACACATATGTCAGTGTATACAGAGTAATCAGCATATAAACACACTGGTTCTGTCGGTGATCGTTAGACTGACCGTGTCTCGCCTTAAGCTCGTTTTATCTGCCGTTAATGCGCGGGATCCGGTACAAACACATTCTAACACGCAGCAGCGCTCACTAGAACACAGTCCGCCGTTAAACGGATGGAAACGCGATCCGGTTCGTCCGTGTCGGTTCCGGTCCGCTCGCTCTCGCGTGACGTCATCGCGCACGCGTCACGTTTATGGGATTACATCTCCGCCACAATTCTGCACGCGAAAGGTATTTTGAGCGCGCAAAAGTGCGTTTTGAACGCACACGAACTGAGTTTTGTGAAGAAAATGTTTGTCTCGCAAAGAAGAAAGTATTTCTAGCGCACGGAAATCAATTTTGCATTTAAAATAAGTTTTTGGATGTGTGCTGACCTTCTGTTTTGCGCGTGCAGTGTTTCACTAGCGATGCCCTCAGTGCTAAACACCAACAAGTGCTCAACACAACCCAGTGTTACAATATGCCATAATTCCAGCCAATCAGAGACCAGGCTGCTAAATTCTGATTGGCTGCCTTGACAACCAATCACAGCATTTCTTGCATTACCTCCACAGCAGAAGAGGACAAATACAGTGCATGCATAATTATTATGCAAGTTGATATTCTGATCATATTTTTTTCCAAGCACATTTGACCAATTCCAAACGACGTCAATCTTAATAACTACTATTAATCTTGTATTTAATCAGTTCTAATTAACATATAATTATTCATGAAGGCTGGAAGTGAAAAATGTCTCATATTCAAGTGTGCATAATTATTAAGCAGATTTTCTTTTACGCTGGTGTTTAGCAGCACTGAGGGCATCAGGTGAGCACGCTAGTGAAACACTGCAGTGAAACAGAAGGTCAGCACACATCCAAAAACTTATTTTAATTGCAAAATTGATTTTCGTGCGCTCGAAATACTTGTTTCTTTGCGAAACTAATATTTTCTCCACAAAACTCAGATCGCGCGTGTGCAAAATGCACTTTTGTGCGCTCTAAATATGATTTTTCATACGCAGAATTGTGGCGGAGATCTAAGCCTATACACCGCGTAAACACGCGCGGACAGCATTCACTGATTTACACAAAGAACGCCATACATAGAGCTCATAATTCAACATTTATTCAGCAAACAACATTTTTCATTTAGTTAAATATGACGCAGTCGCGTTGGATTACGTGAGGGCGGAGCTACACTGCTGAACAGCCAATCACAGCACAGATTGACACGTGACAGGTGGCTTTGACGTTGTTTGTTTACGGCTGAGCTGAAACTGAAGCGCATTAATGCACGTGTTTACACTAAATTCATCGATAAAAGCATTGATTTCATGTGAATGTGACACTAACCGCCAATACAGTTCTCACATTTAAAACCTTATATTTAATATTTTATGATGATATGTGTATGTTACAGTACTATTGTTGTCAAGCGATTAATCGCGTCCAAAATCAAGGTTTTTGTTTATATGTGTGTACTGTTTATTTATTATGTATTTGTAAATACACACATTTAGTTTATATTTTCAAAAAATATTTACATGTATATATTTATATTCATAACATTTATATTGTATATAGATATATAAACATAACATATTTTTCTTAAATATATACATGCATGTGTGTAGTTTTATATACATAATAAATATACACAGTACACATATTTTGTAAACAAAAACTTTTATTTTGGATGCGATTAATCATTTGACGGCACTACACTAAATATACAATTCATCGATAAAAGCAGTGATTTCATAACTGCCTATACAGTTCACACATTTAAAAGCTTTTATTTAATATTTTATTATGATAGAGAGTTTTTAACAGACAATGATATGTGTATGTTTACACGGGTTACAGTAAGAACATTTGGAGGAAGAGAACATATCTGTATGGGTGCTTTGGCAACATTATGTGTAAAACAATCATGCCAATCATGATCAAACAAATCAACAATCATGACTCAAACGACGCTTGATTTTGTGGAGAAGCTGTATGAACACAAACTCTGTACATATAAGACTGTGTATGTGTGCGGTGCGCTGACAGAAGTCTATTTAGCAGCTGTGGTTTCCTCCAGTGTCTGCAGCAGAAGGTCGTGGAGAGGTTTGCTGAGGGTTTGATATCCAGCCGCTGTCAGATGCAGGAAGTCAAACATGTCATGTTTTGAGATACTTCCGTCTGATTGGACGAACTCAGCGCTGACGTCCAGAAACTGAGCTTGGCCGAGCCGCGGTACAGACGAGCGCAATAACTCATTCACCGCCGCATTCTTCTCACGCATCGGGTTCTGATGCTCTCCACGAGGAAGAAGACCCTGAGAATGACACACAGAGACTCTGAGTGTGTGTGTGTGTGTGTGAGAGAGAGAGAGAGAGTGTGTGTGTGTGTGAGAGAGAGAGAGAGAGTGTGTTGAATTATGAGCTCTATGTATGGCGTTCTTTGTGTAAATCAGTGAATGATGTCCGCGCGTGTTTACGCAGTGTATAGGCTTAGATCTCCGCCACAATTCTGCGCATGAAAAATCATATTTAGAGCGCACAAAAGTGCATTTTGCACACGCGCGATCTGAGTTTTGTGGAGAAAATATTAGTTTCGCAAAGAAACAAGTATTTCGAGCGCACGAAAATCAATTTTGCAATTAAAATAAGTTTTTGGATGTGTGCTGACCTTCTGTTTTGCGCGTGCAGTGTTTCACTAGCGATGCCCTCAGTGCTAAACACCAACAAGTGCTCAACACAACCCAGTGTTACAATATGCCATAATTCCAGCCAATCAGAGACCAGGCTGCTAAATTCTGATTGGCTGCCTTGACAACCAATCACAGCATTTCTTGCATTACCTCCACAGCAGAAGAGGACAAATACAGTGCATGCATAATTATTATGCAAGTTGATATTCTGATCATATTTTTTTCCAAGCACATTTGACCAATTCCAAACGACGTCAATCTTAATAACTACTATTAATCTTGTATTTAATCAGTTCTAATTAACATATAATTATTCATGAAGGCTGGAAGTGAAAAATGTCTCATATTCAAGTGTGCATAATTATTAAGCAGATTTTCTTATTACTTGTTGGTGTTTAGCACTGAGGGCATCGCTAGTGAAACACTGCACGCGCAAAACAGAAGGTCAGCACACATCCAAAAACTTATTTTAATTGCAAAATTGATTTTCGTGCGCTCGAAATACTTGTTTCTTTGCGAAACTAATATTTTCTCCACAAAACTCAGATCGCGCGTGTGCAAAATGCACTTTTGTGCGCTCTAAATATGATTTTTCATACGCAGAATTGTGGCGGAGATCTAAGCCTATACACCGCGTAAACACGCGCGGACAGCATTCACTGATTTACACAAAGAACGCCATACATAGAGCTCATAATTCAACATTTATTCAGCAAACAACATTTTTCATTTAGTTAAATATGACGCAGTCGCGTTGGATTACGTGAGGGCGGAGCTACACTGCTGAACAGCCAATCACAGCACAGATTGACACGTGACAGGTGGCTTTGACGTTGTTTGTTTACGGCTGAGCTGAAACTGAAGCGCATTAATGCACGTGTTTACACTAAATTCATCGATAAAAGCATTGATTTCATGTGAATGTGACACTAACCGCCAATACAGTTCTCACATTTAAAACCTTATATTTAATATTTTATGATGATATGTGTATGTTACAGTACTATTGTTGTCAAGCGATTAATCGCGTCCAAAATCAAGGTTTTTGTTTATATGTGTGTACTGTTTATTTATTATGTATTTGTAAATACACACATTTAGTTTATATTTTCAAAAAATATTTACATGTATATATTTATATTCATAACATTTATATTGTATATAGATATATAAACATAACATATTTTTCTTAAATATATACATGCATGTGTGTAGTTTTATATACATAATAAATATACACAGTACACATATTTTGTAAACAAAAACTTTTATTTTGGATGCGATTAATCATTTGACGGCACTACACTAAATATACAATTCATCGATAAAAGCAGTGATTTCATAACTGCCTATACAGTTCACACATTTAAAAGCTTTTATTTAATATTTTATTATGATAGAGAGTTTTTAACAGACAATGATATGTGTATGTTTACACGGGTTACAGTAAGAACATTTGGAGGAAGAGAACATATCTGTATGGGTGCTTTGGCAACATTATGTGTAAAACAATCATGCCAATCATGATCAAACAAATCAACAATCATGACTCAAACGACGCTTGATTTTGTGGAGAAGCTGTATGAACACAAACTCTGTACATATAAGACTGTGTATGTGTGCGGTGCGCTGACAGAAGTCTATTTAGCAGCTGTGGTTTCCTCCAGTGTCTGCAGCAGAAGGTCGTGGAGAGGTTTGCTGAGGGTTTGATATCCAGCCGCTGTCAGATGCAGGAAGTCAAACATGTCATGTTTTGAGATACTTCCGTCTGATTGGACGAACTCAGCGCTGACGTCCAGAAACTGAGCTTGGCCGAGCCGCAGTACAGACGAGCGCAATAACTCATTCACCGCCGCATTCTTCTCACGCATCGGGTTCTGATGCTCTCCACGAGGAAGAAGACCCTGAGAATGACACACAGAGACTCTGAGTGTGTGTGTGTGTGTGTGAGAGAGAGAGAGAGAGTGTGTGTGTGTGTGAGAGAGAGAGAGAGAGTGTGTGTGTGTGTGAGAGAGAGAGAGAGAGTGTGTGTGTGTGTGTGTGTGTGTGAGAGAGAGAGAGAG